ACATGTACTCTGTGGGGTTAGATATTTTTCAAGGCATAGAGAACATGGAACAAGCCTATGTTGGAATCTCTGCTATTGTGAGTAAGCTAAAATCATTAAACTTATTTCTGGATAGCGTTTCTAGTCATCATGTTACAATCCATGACGTCTTTCGAGATATTGCATTATTAACTGCATCCGATGAATTACATGCATTCATTTTGAGGCATAAAAGCTTGAGAGAATGGCCAGACGAAGATAAGCTAGAAGGCTACAAGGGAATTTGTTTGCAAGAAAGTGACATCATTGTTGACCTTACAGAAGAGTTGCATGCTCCAACATTAGAATTCTTTCTACTGCACAACACAAAACAACATGACTTGACCATACCCAGCATGTTTTTCAAATCTTCAAAGAAGCTAAAACTGTTGGCATTTACTGATGTGCGTTTTTCATCACTACCATCACTCAGTTTCCTACTAAAACTAAAAACATTGTGTCTGCACTCTTGTTTGCTAGAAGATATAACTGAAGTCACAAGGTTGAAGAATTTAAAAGTGTTAAGTCTTGCTTACTCTGAAATTGAATGGCTACCAATTCAATTAGCAGAGTTGACTTCTTTACAAATGTTGAATTTGTCCCATTGCTCCAAGCTCAAAGTGATTCCCCCAAAACTTCTATCTAGCTTGAAAAAATTGGAAGTGTTGTACATGGGAAACAGCTTTAACCGGTGGAAAATTGAAGGATCTAGTGAAGCTAATGAAAACGTAAGTCTTCAAGAGTTAAAGGATTTGCCAATCTCTTCTCTCGATATTCATATTCCTAATGTCTCTATGTTGCCGGAGGCTTTGTTCTTAGACTTGAATTTGAAGAGATATAGAATATTCATTGGAGAGCATTGGGAATGGCAAGACAATTATGAAACTTCAAAGATATTGAAACTTGAGCTAGACGGTAGTATCCATTTGAAGCCTGGGGTTCGGAAGTTGATGAAAGGAGCTGAAGATTTGTATTTATATGGATCTAATGGGCTTGAAAATGTTCTTCACTGTCATGATGGAAGAGCATTTCCACATTTAAGGCATCTTCAGATTGAAAGTAATGATACTAGTGGATCCATTGTTTTGAACTCAGCACACGATGAAGCTGCAACAAATAACATATCCAACAAAATGTCTGAGTTACTTTTCACAAAGGTATGTGCAGATTTTCACAATTTTTTTTCTTATTTTATCTTCTTACAAAACTTGAAAATTATATGCCAAAATCATTTTCACTAGAATTACTTGCTCTACTATTAGGCAACTATGGTAGTTTGCAGCTTTTTATTTTTTTAATTACTTAAAATCAGCTAATAGTAGAAAAAAGCTAATAACTTCAAGTCTTAAAATAAATAATGAAGCCTCAAATTATTCAGTTTACATCCTAAAAACGTGTCAACTTGATATTTTGGAGTGTTTTAATATATGAATTGTTCCTGTTACTAAAACAGTATTTATGAGTATTTTAGATGCTGTGAATAACGACCTTGTTGGAAGGGGATGCTAGACGCTTGTGTTGTTCATTACTGAAAAAAATATTTATGAGAATCTAGCTCATGGTTTTCCAATCCCTTTTCAGCAATAGGTTATATTCATATTATTTAGTTACTTTTTCTTGTTTTAACTTTCCGACAAAATTTCAAACTTAATTTCCCGAAAGAAAAAAATCATTTTCACTACAATTATCTGCTTTGTTGGCATTTTGCTGGATTGTTTTTCTTATTTTTTCTAACGAGATCTACAAAAATTACATTCACTGGAATTACTTAATTTGGTATTTAGCTAGTTACTATAGCATTTTACAGTTGTTTCACTTTTTTAATTACTTAATTTTTTATTTTGTGACCGTGAAATTTCAAATTGAACTTTTAGCAATGGCTTGAAAAGTATTGTGGTAGGTGAGATTTTTATTTTGACATCTAAACAATCTTTCATGGAAAGTAAGCCCATGGATTATAAGTTATTTGTGTTTAATCATATTTTCGTTCAACAGGTGTTACTTCCAAAATTGGAGAGGTTGGAATTGTCCAATTCAATCAATGTGATTCCAATGGTGTGGGACGACCAACTTTCACACACCTCATTTAGCAATTTGAAAATATTGATTGTGAAAAACTGTGGCTTTGTGAAATTGGTGTCCCTTCGTGTGCTGAGATCTTTAAACAACTTGGAAGAACTAGAAGTTACGCAGTGTAACATGTTGGAGTTGGTGTTTGATTTTCAAGATTTGAATTATTATAAAGGGGAGGCGGAGTCGTCATCACTGATTGTGCCGCTGAAAAAGTTAACGTTATATGGATTGCGAAAATTGAAGAATGTGTGGAGCAATCATTATGAAGGAGACGTCTCCTTCCCAAGTCTAAGGAGCGTGCGTGTGTCCGAATGTGAAAGCCTCACAAGTCTGTTTCCTGCATCTATAGCCAAGGGCATGCTTCGTGATCTTGAATTTCTTCGAATACAATACTCTGGTATAGAGGTAATTGTAGCAAAAGATCAAGTTTCAGAATCTGTTGCTACTGTGTTAGAGTTTCCTAGGCTGAATTCCCTTCGGCTTTATTGGCTTCAAAATTTGAAAAGCTTCTATCCACAGAGACACACATTAGAATGGCCACAACTTCAACAGTTAGATGTTAGATATTGTGATGAATTAGAGATATTTGAAAAGGAAGTCTCAAGTTCACTGGAAATACATGAGGAACAGAGCACATTAGCCTCAAAATATCCTCTACTGTCCCATGACAAGGTACATTTCTAAATTGGTCATTAATGTGTTATTTATTTTGAAAATAAGCTAATAAAAGAGCAAAAAATAACTTTAAGCATTAAAATAAATAATGAAACATATTTTGCTTTACAACGTAAGAGCACACTTGAATTTGATATTTGTGAGTACTCAAATATGCAAATTGTTCCTGTTACTAAAACATTTATTAGAATATAACGTAGTTTAAAATGATAAAAAGGAGTAATTCATAATCATTATTTTAATTAATTAATAGATATTAGAATTAATTAAATATTTTTTCTTTTGAAAAAAAAGTGGGACTCCAATCGTCAGGTTTCCATCTTCATCAGAAAGAGGTGTGTCATTTTTTTGGGGTAATAAAAGGGGGTGTCATCTAATCAAGGGAGGGGATTTTTTTTTTTTTTTGGTTTAACATTTTCAAGACATTATAAGCTTTAATTTGATTTTTTTTATTTAAAACAAAAGAAGGGAGGAATAACGGTTGTGTGTGATAATCAAAGATTGAAATTCCAGGCTGGAAATTTATATTCATTTTAATGTATCATAATTATTATTTGTAGTTGCAAAATGCACACAGCTGGATTTTGACGCATTGATTAGTTGTTACATTTAGTTATGATTTATGTATTATGCAGGTCACTCATAATTTGGAGGAGTTGACATTGTGGGGTACAGGAGCTGAGATGATAGGGAGTGGCCAGCTTTCAACGTACCGCTTCCCTAAAGTAAAACTGCTTTGTTTAAATACTGGTTATGATAAAGCAACGACTATTTCATACAAATTGTTGTGGAAGAGCTTTCCAAATTTAGAGACGCTGAGACTGCTCGGTGACATTAAGGAGGCTTCTGGAGGGGATGATGTTCCTCTTCCAGTAAAATTGGCTCTCCAATTTAATCAAACTATCACAAGCTTGGCATCACTCTTAGTTTCTCCACCAAATCTCACACATCTCGAAGTGGCATATTGTCATGAGTTGACCACTCTGATGACGTCATCAGTTGCTCGAAGCTTGGTCCATCTCACAAGTCTCTCAATTAGTTGGTGCTCTAACATAAAGGAAATTATATGGAAGCGGGAAGGAGAGGATGATGACGATGAGGAAGTCGTTTTCAGCAAGTTGCAGCATTTGAAAGTTGAACAATTACCAAAATTGATGAGATTTTGCCGCTACAATTACACTTTCAGATTTCCGTTATTGGATCAGCTAATCATAACAGAATGTCCAAGATTCAAAGTATTCTCTCCAGGACTCATTGATACACCATCTCTTAAAAGCGTTCAAGTGTCACATGAAACTTGGGACACCAATCTTAACAAATTCTACCAACAGGTACGTCTAGAATGCTCCATTCTTCCTATTTCCAGCTTTTACAAAAATATGAATCTATAAATGTTCCATTGTTATGATATTTAATATAAATATACCAGTACATGTTTCGGTTTTAAAGTTTCTACTAAAATTTTAGTTATCATATTTTAATTACACAACTTTAATTACAAAACATCCCAAACAATTACATCATAATTAATTAATTAATTAATGGGATACACAGTGAAATGTTTCAGTAAGAAATGGATTTTTCCCCCGGATATACCCTTATTTATGAGGGGAAAAGTAAGAGAGAGAAATAGAGTAATAATGAGAAAAAGTATGAAAGATAAGATAATATACCAAGTTCTCAACCTTTTAATTAATGCAATGTATAAAATTAATTAGAGACAAAAAGGATAAAAACACATTAAATGTTCAGACAAATCCAAGTTGGCTCTATAAAAAAAAAACCAAGACAATTCAAATTTCAAATTTTTATAAAAAGAGCTGGAGGGAGTAGTTATCATTTTTTAATTACATAACTTTAATTATAAAATATCCCAAACAATTACGTCATAATTTAATAATTAATGCAATACACACCAAATGTGTCGGCATTATTGTTTTTTGTCGTGGCTGATATAATTATTTCTTTTCCAAGATTATTTATGAAAAATAAATGAAATCAAAATGTTTCGGACTTCTAGTGATCGCATTTGATCTTGGGACACAATAAAAAACAAAATAATATTTCTGATTCAATAAGAAGTTGTGACATAATTAATAAATTAATATTACCATGCTTCTGACTCAATATCTGTTTTACAGAGATTTGTGGCATCAAGAGGGATGGTGTTAGATGAGGATGATGTTAGCATGATAAGGAATGACCAATTTCCAGCGGATTGTTTTGCTCAAGTGGAAATTCTGTGCATAGAAGGATTTGATGATGAAGGGGCAACATTTCCGCATACATTGCTTGAAAGATTTCCGCGGCTGACTGAGCTTCGTGTGGAGGATAGTTCTTTCGAGGAGATATTCCCATCACCCGTTGTTCATCAAATTCAACAACTTCATAATTTGACAGTGCTGAACGTGTCCCAATGTCATCAGCTCATCTATTTAATGACAAATTCAGCCGCCAAAAGTTTGGTGAATCTTGAAACACTGGACATATTTTATTGCAAAAATATGAAGGAAATTATAAAGAATGAGAATAATGACGATGTGGAAGGTGGAATCACGTTCAGTGCGTTAAGAAGATTAAAACGCAGTAGTCTACCAAGATTGAAAGCGGAAGAGCATAAAACGGATTTCAACATTGAAGACCCAGCAACAAATAATCATAAGGTATGTTCAAATCAATTTACAGTAAAATATCCTAACTAGTCCTGTGTTTTACCTAAGTTATAGAAACCTTCCTTTTATTTTAAAAATATATATATAACTCCCTTAAAATTAAAATACATGTTGTACAAACCTCCCTTGTATATTTGACTGAAAGTTCCATTTCCATCTACCCAACCGTAAGGTTACAGTTAAGTTTGACCTTTAAACTTGTATTTTGACCAAAATACCTCTCCTTCACATAAAAGTTATTTAAACATTCATTTTTTAGCAAAAATAATTTTTAATACCACAAAAAATAATTTTAATACATGTATTTTCAGACTTTTTAAAATGTAATAAAATTTGTTAATTTTCATAAAAATTTTATAATTTTAATTGTTTGTCACGCATATTGAAATTAATTTTTTAGGTTTCTTTAAATGGCTAACAGATATGTTGAATACATATTCTTTTCGTAATATAATATAGATTATCTAAGTTTGATAGATTATAGAAATTATTTAAATTTATACTTTCAAATTTTTAAACAAATGAGAAATATCTATAACTTACTTAGTCAATTATATATTTATTTAAAGAATTAACCAAATTTCCACTCACTAAATTACTTATTTTCAATCCTAATATGATAAAAACGTTGAACAAATAACTAACTCCAAAAAGTGAAAAAAAATTAAGGAAAAGAAAACATTTTAAATTTTTTAGGCCAAAATTTAAAAATTCAGTATTATGAAGGGTAAATTAGTAAATCAAAAGTATTTTAATATAAATTTTAATTAGAAAAGTATCTTTTTAGAATATTCTCAACAGATTTAACTATTTGGACTTAAGTTTATGTTTTCAAAATAGAAGGAAAATTTGTAATTAGGACAAAATACAAGGAAGGGCAAAATATTTTACTCATCAATTTATTACTGTTTTTTCTGGACAAAAATTCATTTTTTTATCTAGTATATTCTTTCCTTTCCAGGATTTTCTTATTTTATTAACTTCTTAATTTCAAACTTACGCTGTGAAAATTCATTTCATTGGAATTATTCACTCTGTTCAGTAAAAATATGTCCTTATTTTTTCTTGTCTCAATATATGTGGAAAAAAAATTGTTTCACTTAAATTACTTACTTTGGTATTGGGCTAGCTATTGTAGCATTTTACAGTTCTCTCGTTTTTTAGTTAGTTATTTCTGTTTGGTGAACTTGAAATTTGGAGTACTATGGTAACTCTGTTTTTGTTTTTTGCCGAAGGATATTCGTCTAATTATATTTTCTTTCAACAGATGTCATTCCCAAAGTTAGAGATATTAGAATTATTCTTTTTCAACAGTTTGGTGCCATCAATATGGGATGACAAACTTACGCTGTGAAAATTAATTTCATTGGAATTATTCACTCTGTTCAGTAAAAATATGTTCTTATTTTTTCTTGTATAAATATATCTAAAAAAATTATTTCACTTAAATTACTTACTTTGCTCTTAGGCTAGATATTGTAGCATTTTATAGTTCTCTTGTTTTTCAGTTAGTTATTTCTGTTAGGTGAACCTGAAATTTGAAGTTGAACTGTTATCAATCTCTTGAAGAATATTGTGGTACACGAGAGCTATACTTGCACATTTAAACAATCTTTCATGAAAACTAAGCCTCACAAATAAACAGTAACTTCGTTTTCATTTTTTGCCAAAACATTTTCGTTTAATTATATTTTCTTTCAACAGGTGTCATTCCCAGAGTTAGAGACATTAGAATTATCCTATTTAAACAGTTTGATTCCACGGATATGGGATGACAAACTTCCACACCACTCATTGAGCAACTTGAAAACATTGACTGTGAGCTATTGTGGCTTTGTGAAATTGGTGCCACTTCATGTGCTGAAATCTTTAAACAACTTACAAGAACTGGAAGTCAGGTGCTGCAACATGTTAGAGACGGTGTTTGATTTTGAAGATTTAAATGATTATAAAGAGATGGTGTCATCATCAGTGATCGTGCCATTGAAAAAGTTAAGGCTACGGTATTTGCCAAAATTGAAGAATGTGTTGGGCAATAATGACCGCCAAGGAGAAATAAACTTAGTTTCTTCACTAGATGGTTCATGCCATCAAATAGAAGAACTTATGACGAAACAGAAAAAAGAGGACAATGAGGACAAGAAAATCATTTTCAGCAAACTGGAGTTTTTGGAGCTTGATGAATTACCAAGGTTGAAGAGATTTTGCAGCCAAAATTATACTTTCAAGTTTCCATTATTACAACATGCAATCGTATCAGAGTGCCCTCAACTCACAATATTCTGTTCTGGAGCCATTCATGCCCCGCTACTTCAAAAGGTTCGAGTGACGAGAACATGGGAATCTGACAGAAATATTTGGATGACTGATCTTAATGCCACCATCCAACATCGGTTTACTATTCAAGAGGTTAGTCCAACATACTGATATTCTTGTTTTTCACTTTTTAAATAATTCTTCATCATCTACAAAATTTAGGTTCAGATAAATATTTGACATAAATTTAAAGTTTGTACATTCCGTCATCTCCCAAAAATTGTAAACTGTTCATCAAATTACAAGACCCTGATTGCACGCGAAAGCCGACAAGCAAATGATAATTAACGAATGTGGCAGACTGCAAATAGTGTGATAATGTTTGTAGATCTCTGACTGGAAAGAAGTGGGCCTATAAAGTGATTCAAATAATTTTATTTCTGTTTAAAGTAATTTTGAGGGGGGGGGAATTAATGATGAAAATTATAAGTATTAGAAAAAGATGACAGGTCAATTAAGAAAGATTTTATCTACAATTATATAAGAAATTACTATTTTAAAAAATATTCTGACCTGATTTATTAAATTGCCTTCTTATAATAATAATTTTACCAATAATCGTTTTACAGGTTATTTTCATAGTCAAAAAAGCCTAGCCTTAAATGTGAATTCGAAGGGGATTATGGTTTTTTTTTTTTAATTTGATTTAGAGAAAAGAAAGGGGGTTATGAAGTTAATTTAAAGGATTTTTTAAATTTTAATGTGTGGATCTTATTTCATGGTGAAATGATGAAAATTTAGATATTGGCAAAAGACGAGTGATCCATTTAAAAAGTTGATTCTTGAAAACAATATCTTGATGTAATCTACTAAATCGCCTACTCATTATGCTAATTGTTTTATTAATTATCATTTTATAGGTAATCTCCACAACCAAAAGCATGGCTTTAAATGCAGAGAATGTCACGATGATAAGGGATGTCTTTCCTAAAGTGGAAACTCTTTATGTAGAAAGCTTCAAGGATGAAGGGGTAACCTTTCCCTATAGTTCCCTTGAAAGATTTCCCATGTTGAAAAAGCTTTATGTGGAGAATAGTTCCTTTGAGGAGGTATTCCCCTCACAAGATGAGATTCTTGATTTTATGGGAAAAATCCCTTCGTTTGAGGAATTATACATTTCCGATTTGGATCAACTCAAGAGCATATGGAAGGATGACTCTCAGCTACCACCAATTCATCAATGCCTAATAAAATGCCTGGAAGTTATAAGTTGTCATAGCTTGGTCAAATTGGCACCATCCTCTGCTTCATTTCAAAGTTTGGGGAGGCTGTCTATATCTGGATGCCATCAACTCGTCTATTTGGTGACAAGTTCAACTGCCAAAAGCTTGGTGAGTCTTAAATGGTTGGGGATAAACAATTGTAAAAAGATGGAGGAAATTGTATTGAATGAGAACAATGAAGGTGTAGAAGGTGCAATCATTTTCAACCGATTAGAGCGGATTGAACTTACTAATATGCCAAGCTTGAAGATGTTCTCTTCACAAAGTCAAACATTTGAATTCCCTGAATTAGAAGTGATAGAAATAATTGGATGCCATGAAATGAAGATGTTTTGTCCAGGAGTGTTGGAAACACCAGAGTTGTCTAGAGTAAAGATAGAAGAGTATGAGATGAAATGGATGGATAAAGGGGACCTTAACAAAACAGTAGAAATGCTATGCTCAGCAAAGGTATGACATACCCACACTAACAAATATTTTTTCGGAAAATGTGTTGTTAATGACCAAGGAACAATCGTGCTCATGCCAACGAGTCTCTTTTCAAAATTGCCTTCTATTTTAGGTAGCTAATATTATGATTTGTTATTGCAGGATAGTGTTAATATATAGAAGGATAAGTCCATCATCCATGTTATCATTCTTTCCAGGTTCGTTGCTTTTATGATTTTTCTGCTTATCGGCTTTTTTTTTTTTCCTAGTGGTTATTATGATACCAATAAAAGCCTCATATATGAGGGGACAAGCTTGAAAATCAAAAATCTTGCATCTCTTTTTTTCTCCCTGTACGCCAATTTTTTTCTTTTTCTTAAATTATTTGTATCTTTTTGCTGCATTTGTCTGTGCTTTACTATCGCTAAAAGATATGAGTTGCCTGTTGAAGTTTATTTCAATTTCTTTTCCAATAGTAGTTGGTATAATATCAACAACTGCTACATATTAAAGGATGAAACAGGGGAGCCATCTTTTTGTGAGTGTGAGTGTGAGTGTGAGTGTGTGTGCGCGTGTTTTTTTTTAAAAACCTTTTTTATAAAATTTTTCTTTGTTTCTGTACATTCTCTCTGTATAGTATCGGTTGAGTTAGTGAATCACTTTTGCTTATTTTAAAAAGTCAACTGTGATTAGGAAGAAAAGAAACAGCTGCTGTATTTCAAAAAGGATGATTTTGATAATTTGTTTGCCCCAACTATTTAACACATGTTTTCAAATAAATGATATATATATTTACAAAATAGAATGACAAAAACAGAGGGGCTGTTTGTTTCTGTTTTTTTTATTTTTTTCCTCAAAATAGTTTTATAAAATGGTTTTTTAAAACAAGTTTTGAAAACAAAATAAAAATCTGTTTGGTTAATTGCTTCAAAAAACTGCATTTGAACATAAACATACTGAGACTGGAAAGTGAAGTTTTAATGAGAACTCAAGTTTTTAAATGAGAAAAAAGCCATCAAGCGGAGAAGAAAAAGTTTTTCCAATTTTTGCAAACAAAAAAATAGGAAATGTGAAAACAAAAACAAGAAAATAACTAAAAGTTGTTTTTGTTTTTGAGTTTTTAAAAATACTTCTGTTTTTTGGTTTTTAAAAACACTTAATTAACAACAAATTACAAAATAAGCCTTTTTATTTTTTTTTATTTTTAAAAACAAAAAACGGCTCTCAAAATAAGAAAACAAACAAGGCATTTTGACGCATTGACTATAAAATGAATTATATTTGATAACATGAATATATGTAGAATACACTCAATAGCCTTCGTTCCCTTGCTTGATTGATTAATGCAGGCGGCTAATCCGAACTGTGGACTACAAAATCATTGACTACAAGTTGATGAATGTGGACAGATTTGTGCGGTGATGCTTTTGTTGAATTCTCAATCTCAATTATTTGATAAATGAGACTGTTTTTATCATAAACAATGGGGTGATGCATGACAAAACTCTACCCAAAGCGTGGTTTGTTTATTAATGTATGAAATACTCAAATTGGTTTGTTGCGATTGTGAAGCTTTCATTCAACATCTGTGTGGTTTGCTTAATTGTGTTATAAAGATTATTAATTAGTTCAATGAGATTGGTCACAATTGACCATTGAGTTCTTGATCATTGTATGAAACAATATTTATTTTTATGATCTGTGAAGGCACAGAAAAACAATAAATGAAATTAGATATAAGGTTTATGTCCATCGATTACATTGTGTAATTGACTAGGACTTAACTACAAGCAAGCTAGACAAGAGATGAGTTAATTTTTTCACACCAATTTAAAGATTTAAATCATGCCAATCTATCTATTACGGTCCAAATTTCAAAGGATAATGGTAGGCAATAATGAAAATAACTCTATCAGGTCAAATATTAAACTGTTAGCTAGAATGAATGAAACATCTAGCATTTAAATTCACCATATTTTACTTTCTTGATATTAGTTAACAAAATTACTCCGTGATGCCCTTTATTTTATCTTTCACTTTACTTGCTTATGCCATTGGCGCCATTCACACTGACAACTAAAAACCCAAAACATCATTTTTAATGTAAAAAGGTCACTTATATACTCTCTCACATGTATTAAGAATTATCCAAAAAAATAAAAAATAAAAGCTTATACATAGACCACTAAAAAGCAAATCAGTGGTGCATTTTGTACTGTCGCAAGCAATTGGAATAACAATCCTACTCGAAATCCTGATTGAGCGTGCTCGTAAGAAAAGTTAAACAAAATAAAACCAACCATTTAGCTGACTGAAATCCTGCAGTGATAACCACAACACTATTCCTTTCCACCTTTCATGATATATAGAATGGTGACTTAGCAAAACTTACTGAATAGACAAACATTTTTGTCGACTTCAATCTAAAGGACTTCAAAATGGTTGGAGGTATTAGTTTGACAGACCAAAATGAGTGGAGCTCATGACCTTCTTTCCTTCCTTTCAGTTGACCTTCTCTCCTCCACCTCTCGTCATTTTTGCTGCCTGTCCAACATTACAACAATGGTCATAGTATCAAACACATCTCATTCTAGAATACATAAAGAAGCTCAAAGTTATTCATAATCTCACACAAAATGCATGTACCCATCACCAGCATTAGCAGCAAAATTGCAGCGTGAGTAGGCACAGAATCCTTCCCCATCCACCTAAACAGGATTATTATTCACTGAAATATTGTGTAAAAATTTGAAGCAAGTTGCACATGTTGGTGCATTTGTTTAAATGAATACCTCGTCCCATTTTGATTTTTTGTTCAGTCTACCATCACGATTGGTGGCCTCAGTAATAGGAGGCATCAAAGGCAAACCACCTGAAGAGAGAAGAGAGAAAATCAGCATAAAATAGAAAATCAGTAGTAAGAATGACCTTTGCCATACCATAGGTAAACTAGGTTGCTTTATAACCTGCAACGGGTACATTGATCCTTGGAACACCAGTTACAATTCCTGGTTGTGCTCACCTAGAGGCAAATTCAACTTTCTGGGCTTTCTTCTCTTGCTCTCTCTTGTCACTTCCACGTCTCATATCTGCCTATGTGACAGTTAGGGGTGGTAAAGCAACATCAGTATCAAGTACTTAAAAGAGAGCTTGACTACAAGACCAATCCGTCAAGTAGGGACGAAAGTCGACCTTAATGATCTGATGGTGCTGAGAAAAATATGAACAAATAACAAAATATGGCATGACAAATAAGTTGGTTAAATTCACAATGAAAACTTAAACTAGGCTAGTATTTAACTTCCAAAATCATGACCAACATATTCATAAAAAATATAGAAAGAACCCCAAAGCAGATATAACTAGCCATACACAGCCATGTATAGATGTTGGCTTCCATCTCAGCGTAAATAATATTATCAAAAGGACTTTTGAAGAGAAAAAACACAATCCAACGGCAAAACATAATTTCAACATCAGGTTAGAAGACAAACAAGTTCTTTAATACCAGATATCAAGTCCGTTGTTAGTATAACGAACAATAATAGCCTAAACAGCCCAAATACCAGCAAGCAGTATATCTAGAATATGACACATGAAATATTAATGTTTGCAAGAACACAAAAGAAGTATCATATAATTGACAAAATCAGGTAAAATATGAGCATAAAATAAACAAGTACAGGGAAGCACAAGAAAGTAGATGCAGAGAAGAAACAGTTAAGCACCTACTTGGTCGTAGTAGTCACTTGGGTCATATCTATGAGGGTCCAATTCATCCTTATCAAAGCAAGATCCTATTTGGTCAATATCTTGATACCTCCTAGCATGCAATAGGAAGTCAGGGTTCTGATAGTCCTTCCTATTGCGAACTGCTACATTAAAACTTTTTCCAGCCTTCTTATACTCAAGAAATTTATTTATCTTTCTCTGCAATAATAATAAAAAATCATAGCACATTGTCATGAAAGAACAACAAATATGCAAAAGCTAAAATAGTTTTATACAATTTTCTACTCTATCAAAAATTGAGGGAAATTATTTTTTAATGTAAACTATTACTTAAAACTACTAAACTGCTAGTGTACTAATTAAGGAGTAAAGTGATGATCATTCAACTTCCCATGTACAGAATGTCAAGAAGGGAGTAAGAAAATATAATAATATAAGGTGTATTCAATGAGATGTTTAGTGGTCAAAAAACCTGATACAGAGAAGTATTAGCAAATTACCACTTTTTTCATAATTCAAAGATTTAATCACAGAATTAGTAATATCTGAAATGATAAGTCTTGAATTCATATTAAAGGGAACATGTTAATGAATCAAACCATATATCACCACTTAGTAATTAAACAAGAGCAGCTGCTGAAATTCATCGAATAATACCCCCCAAGATGAGTGATTTCCACACTTTTACACCTTAAATTCATTTTGGATGGGTAGATTCTCACACTAAAACACTTAATCAAAAATTTCAACGCCAAAATTCTAAACATAGATCACTATATTCAAGTGCTTCTACAGGACCTTAGAATTATGTATGTACGTGTAGTTTACATTACATATATGCACAATCACTAAACAGGACTGGAAGTCGTAAGAGATTAGAGTGTAATATTGCATTACAACTCTTCCAAAGTATCGCCAAATTGGTTTAATCATATTCACTAACTAACATATGAAAATAATAAAATTAATGGATAAGAAGCTTAAGAATTTAAAGAGCCATAGCAAATTAAAAGCGAAGCTTTGGTGTGGCACAAAGCAGAAAGGGAAAAAGACATCAAACTACACAAGCACACAATAGTTGTTTTTCTTTTAGGGGGAGGGAGCAAAGCACACTAATTCAATTCAATAAATTAGCACATATCTAAAATCTATCGAGAATAATCTATTCATTATTGCAAAATTAATCTAAAGGAATTTATTTGTAGGCATTCAGAGCATTTAACTTTGGGTGGTGGTGGGAGAAATCTATCCAATGGATCTACAAACTTCTGCTCTTCCTGAGCTATTTCTTCATGTTCTGCACCATTTGATCCAGCCATAGCATCAACTTGCATGGTATGAGATGGCTCAGAAAACTAAGGAGTGTTAACTTGACTACTAGGTGTCAAAACCTGAACAGATCCTGATGATGCTCCATCTAGCAAATCACTTACAAAACCACATTCAAGGAAGTTCTTCAGAGGGGAAAAAATAGTGGACCAAGAGGCAAGATGATAAACAGAAAAACAAAATAAAACAATAGGATTGTTCCCATCTAATATACTTCAGGGAAAAGTGAACTAAAACCACCCCAATGTAATGTCCGAGCCTCTTTTTCAATAATCTTATTCTTAAATACCCAGCCAGAGTCCAAAAGATTGGCATATTCTCAAATTAATAGTCTCATACAAACTCTTATGCACTTCAATTATCCAGAACTAAACAGTTAAACAATCAAATATAGGCAAAAAAATTGCATATAAAAGGTCAGTTGAATAATTGTTCTTGATTAAATACATTTCATGTAGAAGTTAATTTTAACTGTTTTATATGTTTATTACCTTATCAATATGACAGATCAGATTCATTAGCTCATATTCATAATTATCTTACCAAAACTGTCTATACAAGTTCTAGAAAGAACAGACTTTTTGGCCAAATGAGAGAACAGATTACTGGTCAAAATTTTAAATTCTTCTGTTCTAAAAAGAAATCAATGACATTGATATATTCTTCTTTACGGCCAACAAATTAATCAAGTAATATTCATTCTCTGAGAATAACCTATAGTGGGATGAGGTGTCCAAAGAAAGGATAAAATAAATTTAGCACAACATACTTTAATCAAAAGGGGAAATACCATTTGTTGTTTGAAGGTTTTCCTCAAACATGAGTCGACCATTACCATCAAGCCCTCCATCCTGATATCAGAACCAAATATAAGTTATTAACTTATAACCTAAAATAAAGAAGGAGAAAATGATTTCCTAGTAGAAGGTAACCTGCCTGGAAAATATGGCAAGGCCAGGGTGCCTAAGGTAACATCAGGGTCTTAAAAATTTTGGCCAATTTTCAAGTTTAAGAGACATGACTCCATCAATGGAAGAAAATAATGATGAAGGAACGTATAGAAGACAAATATAGTATACCAAAATTGATGTGTCCTCAGTCCTACGGAAAAAAACAAGGGGTGGATTCAAGTAAGAGAGAGTAACTCTGGCTCAGGTGACATTGCTATTTCATCATGACCACGGTTTATAATGGTAATTGTACCTCTCCTACTCCTCCTAGATTCAACAGACACTACCTGTTGATCCTGCTGTGAAACCAACATATCAACCAAAGGCTGTGGTGGCATTGAGGTCCCAAATTTGCTCTTCTCTGGGGTCATCCCATCATTTTCAGCCGGTAGAGTAGCCTTATTAGCAGAATCAGTGATCCTCATCATCTCAGCATCACTCTCTAGATTTTCCTCTGCAATCCTCACATCCCCACCATCCTGTTCTTGTCGCTCTCCTCCCTCTATTCCTCCTTCAACATCCTCCATCTCGTCATCTTCCTCATCTTTGTACATGGATAGCAAAGCAATACCCTAGTATTGCTTCTTCTTGGATGCCATGATGCTAAGGGCTCCGGTGACTAATCCAAAAGGTTGATCAAATTCTAGTAGATAGAAGGAATCGAGTGCAAATTCTAGTAAAATACAAAGTGTTAATGCATTAAAGGTAGAAAAGAACAAAATCTTCAAATTTAAATTTTAGTAAAGACAGAATCATTGTCGCTTGGGTTCTCTCGTTGCCAGCCCTCCTATTTGCAGCGCACATTCAGCCTAAAATGACATCAACCATACAAAGAGAAGAATCTTGCCACCAGTCAGTGCAATAATGATTAATAAGCCACTCTAGAAAATTTGATTTCCTATATTGAAGAATTTGTTGAAGAAATCGGGTATTGTGCTGCAAAATAGAGAAGGGAATTAGTTTTAATTTGCAAGTAAATTGATAAAGGAAAAGAAAAGGTAGAAAGAATATTCAAACAAAAGTTGAACTTTCAAATGTGGGAATCTATACAACATGACTGGCAACCTTAACTTGGTAGGCTCAAGACAATATAGACTCTAAACCAGAACCAATTGATATTCAAACAACTTACCCAGCTCTTCGCTCAATTGCATTGATTTTAAAGGTAATATCACAAGCCTTGAGCCTTTAGATGTGTGGCCGCGACCATGTTTAAAACATGGACGAGAATTTCAGCTACTACTGGTCACGTTCCTTATTTAAGTTTGATAATATACATATGCTTAACTTTTATAGACTATAAGATCTCAACAAGCAAGAAAATCAACGTTCAAAGCGTTGCCAACACAATAACTTCCAAAAATACGGTTTAAAATTCAAATTCATCCTACAATTATTGTTCCAATAAATGCGAAGAGAAAAATAAAACAGGGAAATCACCCAAAAAAAATACTTAAGAAGGTTGAATGGTTATAGATCGTTTAAACTTTCGAATTCTCCAAGCTCAAGATGCTTCCAGGATTTTTACTTTTCGGACTACACCGACTTAAACTTTCAAATTCTCTAAGCTTAAGATGCTTCCAGGTTTTTTACTTTTCGAACTACATTGACTCACAGCACAACTTAAGCAAAACGATCTAAAACATCATATTGAAGAACAGCAACAAGAACGGAGAGGGAAAACCGGCGACAAGAACCTGCTGGTGAATCGGTTCGGATAAACCGTCGATGAGACATTTCTGGAGAGGGAGAAGAAAAGAAGCCGCCCTCGTCAAGACTCGCAAGAGCCATGACAGAAGAAACTGATAAAGTTGAATAGACGAACTCGATTTTTCCACTGCTTGAACGGCTACGATCTACCATAAATTAAACGACGTAGTTAGACTGATAAACTTTCTTAATTATGACTTTAATTTAATTTATAATTATAATAAGAAGGAAAAATTGCTGAAAAAGCATCAATTACAAAATTTATTGCCAGAAAACTGATTGAGGACTCGTGTCCTTGAGGGGTATTTAAAAAAAACGAAAGGTTATGTAAAGTTTTTTATATCTATTATGTCAAATTCTTCAATCATACGTGGTCATGTGTCTTTTTTTATTCATGTGGAGAACTTGATATAATCAATATAAGAAAATTAACATAAGTATTATCCTAAAAACTAACTTTCCCCATTTTTTATTTATAATATTTAATATTTAGTTAATGTATTGTTAATTTTAGTTTAAAAGCTATTTTCATCTCTGAAGTGTTTCAAATTTTTGCCCTAAAATATTTATAAAAGAGTATCTACAGCTATAAATTACAATAATATAAAGCAATTGGCATTTTTTATTTTTTTTTATTGAAATATAGTGCATCATGTTTAAGGTGTGCAGCATGCTTATATTTCAATAGAAAAATGTAACACCTTAATCATGCTTAAGTGTTACATAGCTATTAGTCTGTACTGATGACCATTAGCCAAAAAAAATCTATCAGATATGTACTAATATTTAACCAATGGTAATGTAACATGTTTCCCCAATCTATTCTATCAATATATTTAAATGTAAATATATTTGCTCTCCATAATTGTTTTAAAAATTAATATTCCAACCCATGAATTGTATGGGGAGAAATTTTTAAACATCCTGGCGAAGTTCATGAACTTTTGTTGAGAGAGATCAAGCTGGCAAGTGCCAATATTAAAACCCAAAAATCATTAAAAAATTACATTTATCTTAATTTGTACTCCTTATATCCTTAATGTAGAACTTAATTTGAAAGTTGATATTAGTCCTATATGCAAGACATATTTCATATGTTTCTCATTTTTTTTCAAATTAACCTTATTGATATTCTCTCAATAATAATTATATAGGAGTACTGGAAGGGAAAAAATTAAAGAAGATAATTAGGATGTTTTAGAAAAAAAAATATTATCTCCAATCCTAATTATAAGAGCTAGTTTCACTTTTAGTTTGGTCCTAAATAGAATACCCAAATTCGTTTTGTTTTCCATATTTATTTATTTTTTCCAAATTACCCTTACTTTATATTCCATTAACTATAATTAAATACTACCATAATAATTCAAATAAATACTATAACACATGAAGAAATTCTACTTCCTCTCTCCACTTCTCATTTCAACTATTGAATTAAAATTTGACTGGGTTATTTTCAATATTTTTATAAATATATTAATAAAATTTTAAAATAAATAAATAACTCAAATTGTTAGATTTTAACCATCATTGTTTAAATCGCAATGACAAATATTTAAAAGATTAATTTATATCTGGAAAACAAACTAAGAAAGAAAATAATAGAAAAATGAAATTTTAGTCATTAAAAAATTATTTTAAATTTATAAACTGGCGCCTTATGGCTGTAAAAAAAAATCATTTTAAATCTATGAATAATTTATTCTTAAAAAAAATCTATAAACCACATAAAAAATTGTTAGATGAACTTTGTGAACTTGTAAATTCTCCAGAAACGATAACCATCAAATAATATAATATGGTAGATTTCATTAATTTGAAGGACTAAATAGTGCACAGTACACACAATACTTCTTTTGCAATAGTTGGTAGATGAAGCCAAAGGCCAGTTTGCCATCAAATCATTCAATATTGCCACATCTATGAATTGTCCAACACACAAAATTTAAGCACCATGCATACATATCAACCAAAAGAACAAGACAAAAAAAAAAAACAGAAGAAATACTCAAAGAAAGAAAAAATTACCTCAATTACTTCATTACTTCTTGTACTAACTTTGGATCACACTTATATTTGATTTGGTAGTGGACCTTCCTTTTCCATGACTTCTTTTCTTATATGTGGAATATCATATTTATTAGAACCTCTTTCCTTTATGATTTCTACCATGCAACTTTGTAGGCAGCTTAATTATTCTTACTGGCCAAGAACAAAAAGATGATGACACAGATAGATAGAAAGAGAAAGAGGATATTCCCTTTCATTACAAAGAATAAGCCAAACAAGCAGAACTCAGAGCAGAACACGACTTCTATTTATATAGATATGATTACCATAGAAGTCATAGTCTCAAAATTATAAATGAAGCAGATAAAATTAAAACTTAGTGATGGGGTAGCAGCATATATATATATATATGCAAGTAATAATTGTACCATATATAACAAAAATACAGATAAAAATATTCCAAGTCATGCGAATGCAATGTCAATCTAAAGATATAATTGGGTACCATTAGTTTCGGGTGCATGAATGTGTTCCATTCGTTGTTCAGCA